CCTCGAAAAATCGTGTGTTTCACAAGCAAGCAGACACCCAAAAAGCCAGGCTAGGAGACGTTTACTGGCCAAAGAAATGGAAGAAGAAGAATCTAAATTGAAATCAGCTCTTGTTGAGAATATTCAACAACCACTCCCAGCTTCAGAAAAACATGTGGATTGTACCGATTCTTGTCAGCTTGAATGCACAAAGCAGAAGAGACTGTTAACTTGTCAGCTGCCTACTGGACAAGACACTCGTCATCAACAGTCCCAAGCTCCTACTTTGTCAACAGACCGTCACATTATTCTGACTACTTTATTAAACACACACAGTGATAGCCGAACTATTCCGAATCTGTGTCCTCAATATATCTGTCAGTATCCTGAATACATTTGCCGGTATTCCGTCCACGAGCAAGGAAAGTCCAATTGTAACAGGCGCCCTACACCTCTTCTGGGTAAAAACCTTTATACGGACGCAGGAGAGGATACCCTGCACGCTTGCAATCTCGTCTCATCTGTACCAAACAGCACAATATTAAGGAAGCCTTGCATACAGCTTCAAAATTATGACAGTATTTCGAGATCTTTGAAGCTACTTTCTAGCTCACAACACTCTTCATATTTGCTAAAGGAAGTTGAAATTTCCCCTAAAGAGAAATGCCATGGCAATGAGTCGAAAAGCGGTCTTGATCGAACTCAAGAGCCAGGACCGTCTGTCACAGCTGAGGTGTTTGGTCGCAGGTCGTTTAGTACTCCATGCTCACCGAAAGACTGCAAGTTAAATTTTACCATGCCGCTAAAGCTCTCACAAAGTGCTCCACCACAAGGGCCACCAAATGATGAACCGTATTTTCACGGACAGTTATATTACCCAACCGCCACTGAAGTCAGGCCGGATCTTCCTACCTGGTCCAGTAACGTAACAAATCCATCTCAACAAAATTTAAAAGCACAGGAATTACCCCAACATGTTCAATCTCAGAAATTGTTACGATTTCCTTTAGACGCAGAGATGAATGACTTCTCCAATACTGCTTTATTCCAAAGAAAATTCGTGGATGATTCTTGCGTAGACAGAGCTGCCAGTGACCAACCAACCAGAACTGTGAGTGACACGTATCATACAGTTGACCAAGCAGTCAGAGCTTGGACTATCACATGTCATACAGCTTGCCATCCCATGGGAGCTGTTGATGACATGTGTCATACTGCGGAACACTCGGTGAGAGCCGCGGATGACATGTGTCATTTAGTGGACCACATAATAACCACACCTGTTAACGACACATATACAGAGGATGAACTAGCTCCAGCTGTGAACAACACCTGTCAATTAGCGGACCAGCCAGCAAGAGCTATGAATGACATCTTTCATTCAATGAGTCAACTATCCGGAGCTGACAGTGCCACATGCCATTCAACCCATCTGCCTGTCAGTGCTGGGACAGTTCTCAGACATGACATGGCACCAAAGATGGTATGTATTTCGTTGCCCGTGGTTCCCCCCCCCCCTTTTGATATGTGGGTATTTGAACAGGTGGGTTTGTGTCGCTATGGATGAAATTGCGAACATGTTTGTTAATGTGGGTGTTGAAGTGTAGCTCTCTGAATATATAGATATGTGGATTCGTGGTAATGTTAGTGTATGGCTGATATCCTTAGCCTTCTTTGGCACATGGTCTAGGAGAGCAGCCCCGACAGGCGGACAGACAGACTGACCCATTGTTCTTCGGATCCGGCAGCTTTTGTAGGTGCTTTGTTCCAAAAGCATTAGTGTTATCTTTCCTGTACAGTAAACAAGACAGACGGAGAGAGGTATCATGATGCATTGAAAACACATGGTCTCTGGAATACTGTCCATACTTTGTGCTATAGAGAAAAAGAACTTGATTCCTGGCCATAAATGGTCAAAGCCATCACCAGGGGCTGTCATTCCCATCCCTCGCTATAGAGGACCCTTTCCCCCTCCCTTAGACGTAAAGGGCACATAGGGTTAGATCTATATGTTACAGACCAATCGGCACTCGTTGGGAGATGTGGTAAACACCACGCTGGGTACCTTGACTTTCCATGACTTTACCCGGTATCCTTATAAAGCTGGGTCGACCTGTGAGGAAAGACTGTTTAAAAAAAAAAAACGGTGAATCCACGACCTTCACATTCGTAGGAGAGCGTCTAACGGCTATACCACGACGGCTGCCCATGCATATACTGTACTTTCATGAAATTTCAAAAGGGCAAATCTTCTCTTTGGCATTTCTGTAAAAGTTTTCTGTCTTCTTTATAGCTGTATTTCTTTGCGTATTTCAACAATAAGCGATATCCGGTTCCCAATTCATTAGTTATCATTGAAGTATTAGTTTTTTGCTGTCGGACAATTTGATATTGAATTATTTAAGGCATACTCGAAAAGATAAGAAAGACACTACACGAGGGGGACCTAGATCAGGATGGAAAGATAACATCAAAGAATCTATACCAGCACTATGTGTCCAGGCAGTGAGAAGCAACAAACAGAAACCTTATATTTTCCTTGACACCTGAGCGGTAAAAGAAGAAGCAGAAGAAAAAGAAGAAAAGAAGAAGAAGAAGAAAAAGAAGACGAGGAAGAAAAAGAAAAAGAAGAAGAAGAAGAGGAAGAGAAAGACACATTCAAGTATTGATGTCGCTTATCTAATCCCAACCGTCAATTCATCAAAAAGATGAACTTATACACTTGGTGTTTTTTAGACATGTTATGAGAAGGTTTGGACCCGAGAATCGGCCACAACTAACATTTCTGATGAAAACAAAACAAGGAAAAGACAGAGAGGAATAGTTTCCCTGAAATTTATCTTAGATAGAAAAAGTTGTTGATGAGGAGGATTTGTTTATTTCACAGCCAGCACCAGAGCTGATCAATGGTGGCTTTGGGATGAAGAATCCACTTTTTATCACTTCCAGAACTGGGAAGAGTCGTTCACATAAACGTCCAGGTAAGAGATGTTAAACTTACAAGACAAGAAACATTTTGCTTCTTTCTTTCCCAAGAGAAAAGATGCTGGGCAGTTTGACCTTATGGCGTGAGTGAGTATCTGTGTCGGAGGTGACTCAAAGTACCCGAGATAGAATTTGAATCTCATTATATTAAATTATATTAACCTCTAAGGGACTGTGTAGTCTCGAGGCATGGTGTCAGCTTCGAGTGCTCGAGGTTCTATGTTCAATCCCCAGTAAGGGCGGGGATTTTTTTTCACGTGAAGAGGGACTTCTACAACAAGAAAAAGAAGAAGAAGAAGAAGAAAGAAGAAGAAGAAAGATAATAATAATAAGAAGAAGAAGAAAGCAGAAGAAGAAAAAGAAAAAGAAGAAGAAAGAAAAAAGAAGAAAAAGAAAAAGAAGAAGAAGAAGAAGAAGAAGAAGCAAAAGAAGAAGAGGAAGGAAGGAAGGAAGATAGGAAGGAGAAGGCATGAGAACCAAGGTCACATCTGAAAAACAGCAGCCTGCTTTAAAACTCTAAACAATTAGACCGATTCGCCAGCGCTTTGCCACAAAGGTACTGCGGCTCCGAGGTCTTTCTAAGCTGAATGGATGTGTGAAGTTCAACTTGTTATAAAGTCATCGCAAGTGCCTGTCCTCCAAGCATGCGGAATCCAGGCTGTTACTGCTTCATTTGTTTATTTAATTCACTGAGGGAGAGGGGGGGGAGGGGGGGGGGGGGGGAAGGAGACGCTGCGCTCAGCACCTCATAATTTTCTTTGCGGGGAGGAGGAAAACTTTGTTTGAGTTCACGAATAATAATGATAATTATTATTACGAGCTGAATGACAAATACAAATTATTTAAATAGTATTACACGCAGAAACGCATATTTAAAAACAGGATATTTATGGTTGAGTCAGTGTTTCCCAAACCATTGTTAGTCGCGGCCCCTTTTTTTCAATTAAAATGTTTCCACGGCCCCCTAACATAAGTAAAAGTATGACTATTCGTATGTTAGAGATAAAAACAAAACAAAAAAGTAAATAAAACTAGTGTATCTTCGAAAATTTCGCGGCGCCCCTGTGAAGAAGTCGCGGCTCCCTAGGGCACCACGGCGCACAGTTTTGGAAATCACTGGGTTGAGGTATCCACTAAAGCCTCCTTCCAAACGTTACGGAGGATTTCGGCTACCCCAACCCAAACAATTTTTGTTGTTGTTGGAAGGAGGGAGGGGGTCAAAATGGCTGATTTCCCAGGGTTCCTGCTCCTATGATCATTAGTATTTCCCGCCTAATTGCCCATGTGCAGACGCTGTTAGTACATCCCCCTTTGCTGTTGTCGACGTGGATTCATTACCGTTTTTATGTGGGTTAATTCCGAGATAATTGCTGGAGTACTTGGTTGTCTGGATCAGGGTGACACAGTCTTGGTGGAAATCATCGCTGTGGGTGATCCATAGACAGGTCTGGCCTCCCGGGCTTCTCTAGCCATGTCACATTGTCACACCAGAAATCTGCATGAACACGAGTTAGATATGTGAAGTGGATGTGCACCAAACACTTGGGTTCTGGAAGAAGACTAGAGTCAAGAAGTGGACGAACCACCAGAACCTTTCTTCGGAGTTTATAGCCGGTGTACGAGAATAATAATAATAATAATAATAATAATAATAATAATAATAAGAAGAAGCAGAAGCAAACAAAGAAGAAGAAAAAGAAGAAGAAGAAGAAGAAGAAGAAGAAGAAGAAGAAGAAGAAGAAGAAGAAGAAGAAGAAGAAGAAGAAGAAGAAGAAGAAGAAGAAGAAGAAGAAGGAGGAGGAGGAGGAGGAGGAGAAGAAGAAGAAGAAACAGAAAAAGAGGAAGAAAAAGAGTGAACAACTGTGTACGTTTCACACGTTATTTCAAGTACTTTCAGCTGCTACGACGGTTGGATTGTAGTTTACAACTATTTAGAAACAAGGAAATAAAACCTTAAGCAATCTTCTGTTATGTTCTGAACAGAAAAAGCGCAAGCAACAGTCAGTGTCAAACTGAGATGTCACATTTGTGACAAAATGTTTGATCTAGCGAGACATCTAACACGTCACATGAAATGTCACAATGAGTATAAGCGGTACCTGTGTTTGATTTGCCGCAAAGGATTCAATGACACTTTCGACCTCAAGAGACACACCAGAACACATACAGGTGAGTTTATGAAGCCGTTCACCTCAGACGACGCGCTAGAGCTAGATTCCTTCACACGCCAGTCTAGCCTTACATTTTTGTATATAGATCAATTATTTAGTTCGACGTCAGTCTCCCCAGAGAAAGTAGGTCACGTTACATTGACAGCTTGTTGGTTTGGTCTGCTTACCAGGGTGGGGTTACGGGTGTGCAGCTATGTGTTTGCTATCTGGCTTGTCTTGCATTCACGTTTTTCTTTCAAGAAAGACAATGCTTGTAACATAGGTTGCAGCACTTTCTAAAAGGGGGAGGGGGGAGGGTGGGTTGTGTGTTAGACCAGTTTCTTTATGTTTTCGTAGTGTTTAAAGCGCTGGTGTGCTTAAATAGACAACACGGCAAATATATTAACGTCATTGCGGAACCTGCCGTAGCAGTATTCGAAGGGCGCGCGGCTTAGGAACTACCAATCATAAGTGAGCTAGTGTGTATATGGGCGGTCTCTGGGAGGACGAAAGTGGAACTAGCCATTTCAATTTTAACTCTCAATGGGTGATGTGGTCAACGTCATACCGACCGCCTTTACCTCCCAAGACGTTATCTAATACCTATTTAAGGCTGGGTCAACCTGGAAGCCGAGGTCATATTTCCATGCGGATTTGACTACACAACTTTCGGATCTGTAGGCGAGTGTCGTGCGTGCTTGCATGTCAATTATTCTCTTCGGGTTTCTACATAAAACGGTTTGCCATCCTGAGATGAGAAGATATCATTTTAGACGGGAGACTAACGACACCTGAAGGTTTGTCACTGTAAGTCTAAAAAAAAACTCTCAGTGTTGGATGCAGACCAACGGGAGTTGAAGGTTTGTCACTGTAAGTCTAAAAAACTCTCAGTGCTGGTGGCGGACCAACGAGATCTGAAGTTTTGTCACCGTAATTCCCCCCCCCCCCCCCCCCCCCCCCAAAAAAAAAAAAAACTCTTATTGCTGGTGGCAGACCCACGGGACCTGAAGGTTTGTCACTGTTAGGTTAAAAAAAAAAACTCTCAGTGCTGGTGGCAGACCAACAAGCAAGCCCCGACACACGGTTTAACCTCCAACAAAAGGTACAATGAGAGCACTGGTATCGTCCACAACAGCCCGAGTTACAATGAGAGCACTG